CCAGCCCCCCGGGGGGGGGGGAGTGAGCAAATGGCTGTGTGGGGCTCAGTTGCCGGCTGAGGTTAAACCACGACAGCTAGTTAACCATTCGCTGCTATATTACAACTTCATAATTTGATTTTACTCCCCTACACTCTTCTCGGTTAGGCACATACCCCAAAGCATTAGGCCATCATACAAAACCCTCTAAATTAATTTGTATAAAAATGGCTTGTATGATTTGATAATTTTCAAAACTGAATGTCAGGTTCTTCAGAAACAGATTTGTTCACTTCGGTTTCACTGTACAGATGTTCAAAACTGGGTCTATTCAGGAAAGTTTTGCTGACACAGTCATACCACCAAACCCTTTTAGCTTTTGCAATCTGCATCCAGACCAGAAAAGCAAAGCCCTGATGCTAAACCGTGACCCCTGAACCCTGCCCTCCCCACACCAACCCCTCCGGCCTCCCCGAGCCCTGACCCCTGTCTGGGATGTGCGCTGCGCATTTCTTGCAGGCTGATATTAAAAATGCGGAAGTTTTTGACTCGGGAATTGTGTCTCTTTAACCCTAAGGTTGGATTAGCAAATGACTGGTCTCAATTTGAAGTAGCACAGAAAAGTTGGTGGCAACTTGAACAAGCATGAGAATTACAGAGCACTCGCAAAAATCATTCCTTAAACCGTATGCGCGTTTTGGCCTTTCTCTGCCAGACCTGATGTTTGATACCGTTTTGCTAAATAGTTCGCTTTTGTCTTACAGAGCAGCATTGAGCGTTTCGCAGATGTACAAGATGACTTTGAAAGCCACTGACTCAAGAATACGAATCTTGAAAGAACTTGCTATTGTGGAACTTGACAAACAAGGAAATGTTAAATTAGTTGTGTAAATGAAAGCTCAGTCCATTCTCATTTGACACACAAGCATCTTGGTCATAGCTCCTGGGTTACTGACGGGCACGTATTTCTCTGGTGTCTACGAGTTATAAGTACACTGTGGGAAAGCTGTTAATGTTTCTGTATACAAATTCTAGTGATAGTACTTAAAATCAGAGACTTAAAAAACATTGAGGTTGGTATTTTATCTTGGATATTTACAGGACTATAGTCAATGCATTTTTGAAGAGTCTCGTTAGCCATGTGACACTTCCATATTCTTGCTTACATTCCTGAGTGGGTTTTTAAGACAAATAACACAAGCCACTTAATTGTACTTACATTCCTGAATAAATGATGAAAGCTAAGGAGACGAGGCCATAGATTCATTACGCTTTTGTTTACGTGACTCCTGTCCCTGAGCCCTGTCCTAACCCCTGAACCTGGTCCCTGACCCTTTTAAATTTTCCTTTGATGTGAACTGCCTTGGTTTTTTTCACAGTCCGGCAAAACTGCGGACTCGCAGAATAGCTGAGGTTGGAAGGGACCTCTGGAGATCGTCGGTTCAACCCCCTGCTCGGAGCAGGGCCGACTACGGCAGGTTGCTCTGGGCAGTGTCTTGAAAAATGCCAGGGATGAAGACTTACAACCTCTCTGGGCAACATGTTGCAGCGTTTGACCACCCTCACCATAAAAAAAAGGGATTTTTTTTTTTCTTATGTTTAATGTGTTTATTTCAGCCTAATTTGAGAGAGTAAGATATCTGAAGTTTACTAAGTTCCTACAGTTTTCGTGAAAAATGATGGCTGTCAAAGGAGAGAAATTCAAACTAGTGCCCTTAGGAAGGGAAAGGCCGATTTCTGCACCCACCAACGAACGGGTTGGTCTATTTAGAGTTTGCTGGGAAGAGGAACAGGTTGTATATTGAAGAAGAAAGGGGAGGAAAGGACAGGGACAACTTGAGTTTATGATGTCTGCTGCCGAGCGTGCCCTTTTACCTAGCAAGGTTGCCATCGCTTCACAAACTGCTTTAATAGTTAAGCACTCGGACTTAATCATGTTGATGCATTTTCCATACAGGGCTCGATCCTTACTCTCACTACCTTCACAAGTGTTCAAGATTTAATTTATTAGTGAAATCTGGCTAAAATAGTTAAAGATACCTGTTAGTGGGAAAACAACTGCATCGAAGGTGGTGCCGGGTGTAGTTCG